TTTGCAAAAGTATGAAAAAGCTTTAAGGGAAAAAAAAAAACTTGAAGGGAAGAGAGCCCAAAACAGCTCATTGAGGATTGTCCATGCTTGGCAAAAACCAAACACTGCTTGCTTATGATAACTTGACATAAAAAGAAGGGACCTGGAATGGAGTATCTAAGAAATAAATGTGTCTGGCTGTCCACCTGTACAGAAATACTTTGAAAAGCAATGTTTTATTGTGGGTACTGCTCATAACTACTGGTACTTTGGGCAGGAATATCCCTGTGGCACCCATAATATTCTCTTGACAGCGCCTGGCTGACCCTGTGTAGGAAGTGAAGCTAAACAGGGCCAGATCTGACAACCAGGGAATTCTAGTGCTGGAAGCTACCCTGAGAATTTGAAACAACACCCTGGAAGAAGGCAAATCCCTTCTGTGGCATTGCCAGGAAAACAGCAGCCACTAAGCTCAACTCAAGGGAAACTTCGCCTTAATCTCTATCCCAAAAGAAAGTAAAAAACAGAGAGATGTTCTTGAGCTATAAAGTATCCACAAAAGCTATCACTCCATATAAAAACCAGTTCATGAACCATCCCATGAATATTTACTGAAACTTCCCCTGAACTGCAATGAGAATTAGTTTCTGGTAATTACAGTATTATAGCCTTAAATAGCAAGACACTCCAAACTTGGGAGAAAGAGAGAACAAAGATTCTCAAATATCTGAAAGTATTTAGGAATCATGGAGGTCTGCCTAACAGTTCTTTAATGCTCCATTTGGCATTAACTACCTGGATTAATCATGGCACTTTGTATTGCTAGGCCAAAGAAAACTTCCCAAAGCGCACCTGGGTGGGTATATATTCTATATCCACCCAGCTACACCAAGCAACCCTTGGTTCCCCTTAAGCATTTGATCTATTCTATGTAGCCACCCCACCTTTTTCAACAGGTGAATACAGAAGCTAAAATTAATATATATATATATGTTAGTGCACTGTGGAAGCCTGCAAACTAGCAAAGCTTGATTATCTGTAGAGATTATTCTGCTGTAAGGTGCTTTTTTAAAAGGAGAGACAGAGAGAAAGATGGAAACCTAATGTTTCATGATCTCTGTACCCAAATTAATTCAAATATGTACTACCATTGAAGATCTGCTTAGTGCAGTGGTGAAAGCATTTGATTTATATTTCACCAGCTTCATTAAGCTTCAGCAGGTGAACTTATGTTACTTACTACCCATCATCCTATTTTATAAGATTTTTGCATGAAGGAAAGGAAGGAGGGAATGAATATGTCTGCTCAGCTGGCCAAATTTTTGGGATTTGCATCTGGGGTAGGCTAATGGCCCCAGCATCTGGGAGAATGTTGCAAAAGCACATGGATGAAGCCAAGATATTACATTTTTCCTGAACAGGGGTGGTATATGTTTTTTTGCCACACAACATACGGAAACCACACCACTGATTTTCAGGAATTATGCTAGGAGGGGCTTCAAAAACTGCAAAATGGGGATTCAAGGGCCGAATAAGGGACTTAACATACTTTGCAAATGCAGAAAATATGTGGCGAGAATAAAAATCACGATCATTAAGGAGAACCAGAAGCTGAAATTATTTATGTATTTTGCTTGCAGAATTTACAACACAATTGTATATTGTACTGTATACAATATGCAATAAAATCAGCATTAAAAGTTGATCAATATAATCCATAATCTATTTTTCTAATTTAGATATTAAAATAATAGCTAAAATTTTAATTGGCATTTGATATGGTACTGCTGGTTATAATTAAAAGGCCTGCCAAAAGAGCCATGTTTTCACTTGCTTCCAGAAGACTATGAGGATGGGGGCCCTTCTTGGTTCAGGGGAGCAACTGTTCCAAAGGAGGGGAGATGCCTCAGAGAATGTTTGCTGTCAGGCCCCCTCCTGCTGTACTTCTTGGAAGGTGGAGTTCATTAGCAGGCATTCCCTAGTTGCATGGGACAGGCAAAAACTATCAAGGACTCTAAGATATTCAGGCCCTGAGCCATACAGGGCTTTAGAGATAGTGATCAGATAAGGTTACTGGGAATCTTCAGGGGCAGCCCTATATTGAGCAAATTACAGTAATGTAATCTACAGCTGATAAGGACATGAGTAACTGTTTTCAGTGCATCCTCTTCAAGGTAAGGCACACTGCAAAAGCCCTTGTGGCCACGGTCTTCATCTGCTCTTTGAGCAGGAGCTGTGAGTCCAGGAAGACCCCCAATTGTGAGCATGCTCTTTTGGGGGGTAGAACAATCCCATCAAAAGCCAAAGATGGTGTAGTCCTGGAATCAGTCCACCTCTGAATCAACAGCAACTCCATCTTGTTTGGGTTGAGTTTGAACTTGTTTTTTCCCAACCACACCCTGACAGCCTCCAGACTGTCATTTGCTTGCCCAAAATGAATTATTAATACTCCCTTATTATTACCATCATAGTTTTGGAGTTGCCACCAAGGGAATCCTGGAGTAGCCGAGTCAGTTTAGAGTTACGGTAAGGCACATGAGTGCTCTTTCCATCAACCAGAGCAGAAATGACATTCCCAAGAGTAGAGAGAGAAAGGTTAATTTTTGTTGCTTCTTTCAGTCGTTGCCCAGTAGCTCCAGTTTTTGCTTGCCTTTCTGAACCCTTAAAAAAGAAAGAGGCAGAGAATTAGGGCTCTCCCAAAAGAACTTTCTTCAAAGGAGAGCACTGAGTAAAGCAATTGAAAAAGGCTGTCTGCTTGACATGAAACCACACATGAGAGGGTACGCACAAAAAGCCCAAACCAATGGAGAGGTGTTCTTAAAGAGGGAATGCAATACAGGTTTGGAAATGAAGGTCCATTTCCCAAGGGCATGAAGAAATCCTCCACTTCTACTGGCTGTTTGCAGCAGCTTCTTTAGAAACACAGAGGAGGTTCCTACAATGGCTGTAATACCCATGACAAACATGCTACAAACTTATGAAAAAAAACTTACCGCAAGATCTACTAGATGTAGCTTGCCCATGCGCACGTGTATATTCCCATCCACACCCTTCTCACTGCACTCAATTGTGATTGTGAAGATAGCATGGGAACGGGAACTGTGCTCATTCATATTAGTGGCACCAACAGAACCTATTGACACAGAGAAGGGAAACTAAAGCTTAAATGAATAACAACGGCGTTTTTAATTTGGTGAAGTAACACTGTTCTAGCAGCCCTGTTCTAACACTGGGGGAAGGGAAGAGAAGAAAATGAATGAACAGGTATCAAGACTCCATCTATTCAAGTTGTCTTCAGCTTGCATTCATGCTTTATTTATACAAGAAAAGAAGAAAAGTGACTCCGCTGAAAGATCACATACTGGAATGAAATGTTAACTGATATTCTGCAGCTTACATCAGTAGCCAAACACATTAGCTGAAATGGAAATCTGTATATGAAAACTCGTGGATTTTCCTAAACTGAAAGCATTTTTCTTCCTTTCCATAAAGACAATGTGAAGAGCCAGAGGGACATAGTGGCAGAGCACTGGGTTGGAACCTGCCATTCTTTCTTAGCCATGAAGCCTACTAAGCTTTCTTAGAACCTTTCCCCATTTGTATTTAACCACTATAGGAACAAGCCCTGACAACCACTTTTATCTGCTGGGTGCCCATGACACTGACTTTACTTTGTCCCTGGCCATACTCCAAATAGCCTTAAGTTATCCCTAGCTTTTTCAATGTCAAAAGAGTATTTTTTTCTATTAAGCAGCCAACAAGCCAGGCCACTGCCCCCAAACTGATATGTTTTGTTGGTGGTGCTAGAGGATGAATTAACTCAGCACTATTGGCTGCTGTAGGATTATGCAAGGAGAGAAAGTGAGAGTGAAAAGCTCACCCAACCCTACCGTCAACTGTTTCTGATCACAGGTTGTTCAAAAGCCTTCTCTCCCTATTCACCAGCCCTCTTTCCTAGGCTGAGAGAGGTAGCAAGTGAAGGAGGTATGAGCTCCAACGCACAGCTAAATCCAATGGTTTTCCCACTTGCTGGGAAGGTGAGAAGGCAAGGAGAGGGCAGCCTTCCCTGAGAAATGAGGACACCATCTTCCAGCTGCAAGCCAGAATTGAGGCAAATGTGACTGGCAATGTGGACAGCAGAATCTATGAGTTTGTCTTCTGGTTCACAGACACATTAGCGGAACGATGGGGAAGAGCCCTTGGCAAGTTACCATATCTCAATCTAATTCTCTTACAAGGTGGGTTTATACAGTTTAGGACTTCGATATCTGGAGTGCCAGCTCCTCATGGACTGGTTTGTCCACTTAGCTCTAGGGGACATGCCTACTTAAAGATGCTACATTAGGAATATGCTACGTGATGACCTGAGAAAGGGCTCAGTTGTGAAATTTTTACCCTACTTATTTATAGTTGGTGCTGAGTCTTGTACATGGCTGATGTCCTGTTAAGGTGTATCTTTTCAGACTGGGTTAATTTGGTGCTGGTCTACCTTCCAGTCTTGTTTGGTACTGCTATCCTGGATGATAAAAATTTTAAATAGTTTATGGCTTCAAATGCGTCCTTTTTAGAGGGTTTTTACTGAATTGTTATTTTTAAAATTTTAACTGTTTTAAAAATATAGACATTAAATTAAGGTAATGTGAAATAAGGATATGAATATCACCATAAGTAGCTAGGAAAAAGAATGGAAGATAAAAACAAGTAACTTATGCAGGTTTCAGGAACTGAATTTAAATTTGATCACTTTTTTATATCAAAGGCTATATATATAGAACCACATGAACTGAGCCAGCTGTACTGGAAAAGACAAATGAATCAGCATAAGTATTGTGGATGGTTTTTCTTACTCTTTTATAGTGAATGGTCAAATTTAATGAAACTGAGGACAATCCACAAAGGATGTGAAACACTCAAACAGAGCTATGCAACTTACGGTTTTTATGGCCAAGTGTCATAATTCTATCCATGTCATCTGCATTGTTTACAACATATGCTGAAAGATCTTTGATATAAACTCCTACGTCAGGTCGTTCTTTAACCTACAAGACATTTTAGTTAGTAATTTCTACGAGTGATGTGTATTTTAGAACAACTATTCTTGACACCCTTTATATTCAACACAATAGACCATACAAATATTTCTGTTCTTAGAATATTAAAGTAAGAGCCAGTCTGGCATAGTGGTGAAGGTGCTGGCCTAGAAACCAGGAGACAGTGAGTTCTAGGCCTCCCTTAGATATGAAACTGGCCCAAAGGTAACTTTGGGCCAGTTACTCTCCTTCAGCCCAATGTACCTCACAGGATTGTTGTTGTGGAGAAAACAGGAGGAAGGATATTCATAATACTCCTTCCTAATGCATATTAGGTATATTCGCTGCATATAAAAAGTGGAATAAAAATTTAATAATAATAATAGTAATAATAATAAATCAGAAGTGAGCACTCCAATGTTATTGGCGAGAGGAGCATGCCAAATAGCAAAGAGATGATCATACAGCTAGTTTTCACAATGCTAAGAGTTCAACAAGTTTTTACCTCTAGCCTCTGTGTCTGGTCCTTCCCCAAGAGGTCACGTACTTCCTCATTGTAGATTTCTAAGTAAGAGACTCGAACCAAAAACCTAAAGTTTAAAATTACAATTACAGCAAAAGCATTGCCAGAATTAATTTTATCATATGAATAGGGAGAGGGAGAAAGAGAGAGATGCACTGGAATGATAAAAAAAAAAAAAATTAAGGGAACTAATTTGAAAAGAGGCTTAGAGCCCCTATCTTATTAGAAAACAAGATTCCATTTGAGGCATTTCAAATTAAGAAAAGAAATATATTTGGGACAGGAATGCAACAAGAAATTAATAAAACGCAAATGTCATGGCCAGTATGATTTTCCCATAAAGCTATGAAGTGAAGACAGTGGAGTGCCATCCAATGTTATATGAGCAGATCTCTACAGTAAGGCTTTCCCTTTCTTTCTTCTCTCTGAAGTATTCAGGGCCCCACACTGCTCGAGTAGATTTTGGAGGAGCTTGGGAAACTACAGGGGAAGAGGAGAATCCATCTTACATGATGATCTACTGTAAAATCTCTGGAACCTCTGCAGGAGATGCCCAAGAATTGGTTACTCTTAATTGTTTAATGACAGCTCAACAGAAATGACTTTCCTTTATTCTAAATTATACTAAAATGAAGAAAGCTTTGGGTAATCAAAAGTGGAGTGGTTATGTGGAAGAACCAAGTTCCTTTAAGTTACAGTATTCAAAACAATTTTTGGTAAATGACTTTCCTTTATTCTAAATTATACTAAAATGAAGAAAGCTTTGGGTAATCAAAAGTGGAGTGGTTATGTGGAAGAACCAAGTTCCTTTAAGTTACAGTATTCAAAACAATTTTTGGTATACAATTCTTAAGAATATTTCTTTCAGAAAAGGCTTGAGTTGGTGGACCTCAAGTTTCTAACAGGTTTAATAAAAGACAGAGAAGACCTCACAAGCAAGAATCGACACATATACTACTGAGGGTGTTAGTGGCAGCACACACTAATAGAAGTACTTCTTCATGAAACACATATTTAGGTTAGAGAATTCTTTGCTACTAGCAAAGCAACAGGAGCATTAGATAACTTTAAGGCAAATCTCTAAGGTTGTCTCTCTTTGAATATTAAGGGAAAGCAAGAGGGAATGGTGTTTAAATACATTAACCATGTATAATCAGATTAATTAATGAACTATTTATCAATCAGTACATTAATGCCAATATATCGTCACTAAGTGGTATAAGAAAAGTGCCAGGATGGTTCTGGTCAAACTTGTTGGAAAGTATAAAAATATACAGAACTGTAATCCTGTTACCCCCGTCCCAAAGGATGAGTACATGGGATGTGCCTGCCTCAACTCTTGGGGAACTCAAACCCAGCTTGGCCAGCTAGACTCTGAGTCAGATCAGTGGGCCTGGGTGTACAAATGTGTGAATGAACAGAGCTTTTGGTTCACAAAGGGAACAGTAAAAGTTGTAAGCTTGTATTTGTTTCTAAGTTCCTGAAACTCTGGATAAAAAAGATCGAGTAGCACTGGCGGTGCTTTCCGGTCTTCAGTGTGATGAGGTCTGCTGCCTTCATGTCTTGTCTGAGTTTTCCCACCAGCACCTGATTGGCCACTGTCAGAAACAGAGTCCTGGACTAGGTGAAATTTCGGTCTGATCCAGGAAAGCACTTCTTAAGTGGAGTTGATACTGGCAGGACCGGAATGTGAAGAAAGTAAATGAATAATTTTACCTTGTATCACCTTCAGCCTTTGCAATATGGCCAAATATATGAGCAAAGGAATTGGGAATGATTCCCCTGAGTTCTGGTACAGCCCGGACACCCTCCATAGTAAAAGTCTTTCCTGTGCCAGTCTGTCCATAAGCAAATATGGTACCTGTAATACAAATCCTTTCTTTAGCACTCCCAGTACCAGGAGGGCATAGGCCACAGCTGTACATGTGCATGCCTAGAAGGAAGGATCTCTATGAAACTTCTAAGCAGGGAGGGGCAAACACAACATTCTTTTCCTGATCCACGTCACTTTCTCGTATGTTCATTCATAACTCTGTTTTATCCCATTTCTGAATCAAACTGTGAAGTTTTTATTTAAAAATGTATCCTCCCCAAATTATACTTTTTTCTCTAAGCGTAAAATACAATTTTCTATATATATTTATTAGGTTTTAGAACAGGGAAGTGTACTAAAATTTGAAAATGTTTTCAAAAACTGGAGGGTAAGTGCATTCCAATCAGCATATTAATCCAGAATGTGCAAATCAGGTTCAGTATCATTTGAGTCAAGCCAAATAACCCTGGGCATCCTGGAACATCCCTACTCCCGACACCTGAAGAACTTATCACTTGTGTCTCACCAGAAAAAAGCTTTGGAGTTGCATATGCAAAGATTGTACAGGTAGTCCTTGCTTACTGATGGTAATTGGGACTGGGAACTCCATCGCTAAGTGATGCTGTCATAAAGCGTGACATCACGTAACTGCACCAACTTATGAAGGCAGTTCTGGCAGTCCCAGTTGCTGTTGTTAGGCAAATCCCAAGCAGTTGCAGCATCCCACTGACTTTGCTTGTCAAAAGTCGGCAAAGGAGGTTTCAAATGGTGATCATGTGACTGCAGGACACTGTGATGGCCGTAACTATGAGGACCCATTGTACGTCCCCCTCATTCAGCACTGTTGTAACTTCGAGTAGTCGCTGAACAAGTGGTCATTCAATGAGATTGCCTGTAATGTCTTTGTAATTGTTAGGTCTAAACAAGGCTATACATGCACTTGTATAGAGTTTAGCTTTGACAGACCTGACTGATGCCATGTCCAAAGCACAGTGAGTGTTGGATTGGCTGATCCCAGTTTAATAAATCTAACTGGACTGTTATCTTGCAATAAGTATAGGTGAGGGAAGGCAGATAGTCATATGATTATTTCTCTGAGCAAAAGAGTTTCCACGCAAACAAGTACAACCCTTCTCTACCTAGAACAAGTTAATCACAGTATTCTATTGATGATTGTTTCTCTGTGGCTCAAAGTAGAAACGCTAAAGGAAGCAAATCCATGTTGTAAACAGGGTGTTCTATAATGAAATAGAACAGCAAGTGGTGTGCGCATGTGTGTCTATACACATAGATTCACACATGCACACCCACACACAAAATGCAGAGTCATTCTAATACTTCAAGAAGGCAATTGTGTTGCAGAAAAAAGTGTTTACAGTTGGCTCTCCCCACTCCCCTTCTTTATCCCATTACAATGGAGAAGCGCTTACCATTATAACCTTCCAGAACAGAGTCAATGATTGGCCTTGCAGTCAAGTTATAAACATCCAGTTGCTTGCTTTCAGGCCCAAAAACAGTGTCAAATGTAAATGTCTTGGGAGGTTCATTGGAAGAATCTGTTTTATGCACAGTGATCGTGCCTCTCATTTCATCAACGCTGACTGCCATTTTGTAACACATTGCCTTTTCCCGCTCATTGAATGGCCGGCAACGAACAACAACTTTGACGTTATCAGAATTATCAGGTTTGTCCGGCTTTTCAGATCTGCTGATCTACATGGAGAAAGAAATGCCCAATCATTATTCAACAAAGAGCAAGAAACAAAACTGGAATGCAAAAACATGTCATAACTCCAGTTGAAAAGAACTCTTTCTGAAGCAATCTGGCAATCACTCTGTATTTTTGGAAAATATAAGATTTGATATTTTTGGATTATATTTAAGTGTCCACTGGAAAACTAATAATAAGAAACACCAAAATGTTTTATGAACTATTTTTGAATTTGATCCAGCAAGCTTTTCTTGGGTTTAGGCTCATAAGGATACTTTATTTTATATGTTTTAGAACCACCACTCTTCACTCAAGCTTTCTTTTTACTCAAAAACATGCAAATAACTTTTTTTTTTGTCTCCCAAAACAAATGTACTGTGCATTACCAATTTACCTCTACTAAATTCTGGACAGGCTCATACATCTCATGGCTTGCTGAATAAACCATAATTGCCGATTTTATGTATGATGCCAAGCCATAAACCACGTCTTGCAAACCATAAAGGCTGGGTTTACAAATTGCACTAAGCCACATTGTAGCACAGCAAATGTGTGAATCCAGCCACCTTTACTTTCTCAGTGCGCAGATGAAATTGGCAAATGTATTGAGCAGAATACACAGCTTTTAAGATGCACCATTTATCAAAGAAACTTTCTGATTTGTGAAGCATGCAATATTATCAAACTACTGGAAATAAGAGGTTGATGAACAATTATATGATCTTTTCCTAGCCTTTTCCACTAGAAAAACCTTCCAACAGTC